CTAAAATGTGTGGGTCATTGCCCTTTGGGCTGGTTTGAAAGGTAAATTATATACGTGACTGTCTTTAATATTTGGATTAATGTTTTGTCGGTTAGTAAGCTGTACAAGTGTCTTTAGAAGCCATTGGAATAGTTTTTGGGGTTTTTATGGAATTTACAGATGTGTTGCAATCTCAAAGGGACATTTTCTCTTTTTTTAATGTTAACTCTCTTGCTCCAGTATCAATCACGTTTTTCCTGCGCTGAACTGCTAATGCAAGCAATTACAATGTTTCAATGTGTCAGACTAAGTTCACAGTGACCTCAGTACTAGTTGTGAATTTGCTGAAACTTTGTTTTTCCTTTTTGGAAGGTATTTCTTTTCTCTTTTTCTCCTCCCCCACCCACCTAGCTTCACAACATCAAGATCAAAAGGAGGGGAGACAGAATGATGTTTTCTGCACTTATAGTCCTGCAGAACAGGAGCTCCTCACTTGGCCCATCTTGCCAATGCTGACCAACTCGCAAACCTGTCCAGTTAGCACATTCCCCTGGCCTTTTCCTATAGCCAGCCAAATCATTTTTCAATGGTAAAAGATCAGTGCCTCTGAATGTTACAAGTTGCATTTTGCTGACTGTCTTGTCTGAATTGCAATGGTTAAACAGGTTGGGTCTGTACTCAATGGAGCTTAAAACAATGAGAGGTGATCGTGTGGGATTCTTAATGGGCTTGACAAGGTAAATGCTGAGAGGATGTTTCTCCTTATGGCAAACTCTAGGAGCAGAGGGCATAGTCTCAGAATAAAGGAGTGCCAATTTAAGACTGAGATGAGGAGGAATTTCTTGAGGGTTCAGTCTTTGGATCTCCTTGCCACAGGACTGTGGGGGGTGAGTCCTTGCGTATGTTTCAGACTGTGATGCTTGATCAACAAGGGAATTAAGGGTTACAAGGAAAGATAGGAAAGTGGACCTGAGGAATATCAGATCAACCATTTTATTGAATGGCAGAGCAGAATACACTGGGTTAAACTGCTTATTCCTGTTTCTATTTCATATGGTCTTAGCTCTAAGTTTACAGATGAGACTATAGATTTCCTGAATTAAGTTAGTTGGTAATATTCCCATGTAATCTGTGGTACTGGCAGTGAACTGTCACATTCATTGATTTGAATCAACTTCTAATCTATCTCCAAAAATAGTGAGGGACAAAATTAGAAGTTGCTGGAAAAAGTTCTGAGGAAGGGTTACTGGACCCAAAACATTAACTCTGATTTTTCTGCAACATGCTGCCAGAACTGCTGAGCTTTCCAGTAACTTTTTTTTGTTCCTCATATAGCATCTGCAGTTCTTTTCATCTATATTCAGAAATAGAGTGCAGTGATTCACAAAGATTGCTTGAAATCTTTCTATCTTATGCAAAGGGATTATTGATGATGTTGAGTTCTGACCCCTCTTGCGAGTGGTATTTGTGTTGTCTGTTTGCATTGGTTTTAAAAACTTCAGGTGCTATTCAAAATGTGCTCACTGACTTTGTCACCCAGACAACATGGGAGAGAATGACACCCATCCCATGAGCCTAGATCTTTTAAAAAGTAACATCAAGATTTAGTGTTCTCAACACTTCAACATTTAGTATCTGGAACATTTATTTTCTCTTGAACCTTTATTTTGATAAACATGAGTTTAACAAAGCTAAACAATCTGCAGGCCAAGTTATTTTCCATCCACAAAACTTAAAACACAAGACTGCATTCAAAGTAGTGGCTGGTGTATTTTGTTTCTTTTAACAATTTTATAATGTTGCTGAAGACATCTATGTTTTGACATTCCAGGAATTCCTACAGTTGACAAAGTTAGCTCATGGTTGCTTGAGAGACTCCTGGGGAATGTTTCTCTGGAAAAATTCTCATCCTAAATTATTATTTTTAAACCAAGAAGCCTTAATTAAAAGGGATTCTTCCCCCACCCATTAAACTGTGCACAAAAGAAAATAGAAGGTGATGTGTTCTGTTGGGAGGCACAATGTAACTTTCTTTGCTTCCACGTGCAAAAATGTCAATTTATCACAGAACTGAACAGTAGTGCCTGGCAAACACATTGGAAGATTTTTATTTGAGATTTGTTTTAATGAATGCTGATCCTCAGTTGCTTCCATAAATATAGTTGTTTCCAATGCTATCAGTTGGCAATGATTGTAGCCATTATGATAGCTTCAATGGAAATACTACAGAATATTTAATACAATTTGTGATGCATCCCTCCAATCTGGCCTGCATGGGTTTACTGATCCACCCTATACTTTGGGTGAAGTGGATTAATTGATATCTCCTTAACTTTACTACTTGTGACTGAACTCTTAATGCTGCGAGAGGTTTATTTGTCTGGTTATTATTTATTTGGTTAAATATCACATGATCTACAATGGTGATATCACCAAGCAGGTTAGGTGACTAAAACTGTAGAGGTTCTTCGCGTAACTGGAGCTGTTTTTGTGGTTTAGTCCAATCCATGCTGGGGTAGAATTGTAAATCTATCCATAATGCCTTGGGCAGATCAGTACTAACAGCCTTCCTGTTAGTGAGGCTGAAAAAGTAATGTATAAATCTCCAAACCACCCCCCAAAAAAACGGAGTGCTTCAGCACCAAGCCGAAACATTCCATTTGGCAAATCTGCCACTAACCAATAGAATTTGTTTTAAAAACCACATTTTGCAGATGAAGGTGGTTCTTTGAGTCTTGCACATCCCTGGAGGAATATTTGTGGTAGAGACATCACTTTACAAAACAAAGTCTGCCTTTTACCATAAAGTGTGGTAGAGACACAAGAATGTCATGAGCTAAAGTACAGTATGCTTCACAATATATGAACTAAATTTGTATTCCTTCCAAATATAGACTAAAGGGGTGATCTGATGGAGGTATTGAAGATGATTTAAAGGATTTGAGAGTAGAGAGGAAGACTAACTATTTTCTTTTAGGGAGGTGCCTGGGGGCAGAAGAATCCAGAACAGTGAGATGACATTAAATTTGGAGGCAGAATATTTAGTGATGTGTGTAGAAGCATGGAACTAATCTGCTTTGAGGAGGGGGTGAAATAAACTTCTAGAGAGACAGGAGGATATTGAGGATCATGGAAACAATAGTGGAGAACAGTAAAGATCATCCAAGGTAACTGAATTGTGGGACAAGCTCAAGATGTGAAATGGTCAGAGAAAACTTCACTTGCTGAACTCTTCAAATGAAGTGTCAGCAGATTATCACATCCAAGAGTCATTTGCAGTCTCTGATCATGATCAGAGCCCAATATTACATAGATAGCTCCAATGGCAGGGTATGGCTTTATCTTTCACATAATGCATATTAGTGTTGAGGTCCATTTAATAGGAGGTTAGTCAATACTTCCCTCAAACTCTGCATTTTATTTTCAAATCCCATTCCCTCTTTGCACCCCTTTTAAACATTGGTAGGAGTATGTGGAATGATGGAATTGTTATTGACAAATATTGAACTAGTTACTTATCAACCCCATTATTAGTGCCTTCAGCTATCAACACTTGTATTCCTCCCTCTTCAAAACTTGAGTACATCTTTTTCAGCTTTTGCTCAACTGTCTAAATATCCTTGTACTGCTGTCAAACATGTTTTTATGTTAAGAGTGCCACAAATACAACTCTGTGGGATTGTGCAGTACTTTGTAGACTCCTTGGAAGCATTTTAACAGCTTGTCTGTGTGCCTGTCAATTACTGATAGGGCACCAGCCGTGCTTGTGCTTGTGCATGTGCAAGCATTTCTCCTCCAACGGAACTGATTCCGTGGCCATGCACGAGAGAATCTGAGCTATCGGTCTGCTGGTCACTCGTAGTACTGAAATATAATCAGGACAGTATGGCAGAAATGCATGTCTGTGCAAAATTTTCATGCAGTGTTTAATAACCTGCCATGGATGGATTAGGTGTTGGTTGACCAAGCTGCAGTGTTGTGGGAGACAGCAACCGCTGCAAGGTGGAAAGGAACTTTTTGGGTGAATGGGACAGGGTTAAGGTCAACTTGCTTTTGTACAGTTCAGTGAAAGGTTGTAGCAATAACAGTTGGCAAATGGAGCACTGAGTTTGTGTACTGAGAGAATGATTTTTGGGTAGGGTTGCATGGTATGACCTTGCTCTGGATGTTTTGCAGAGAGTTTGAATTCCATCTTGAAACAGTTCTTTCCACTTCCTAGGGAGTTTCCTGGGCACTATTTGCTGCTTGTTTGTCAGTTGGTGACATTCCACCTGGATGTGGAGGGATCTATATGACAACAAAAACAGAAGTGACTTAATGGTTAGGTCATAGATCTTGATCACATCTTCTAGGTCCCTCTTTCTCTTTAGACAGAAGTAATGAACAATAGAATTGGGAACAAGACTCTTTTCACAGGTTGGCTTACAGTGGCGTCATGGTGAGAAATTG